ACGCACACACACACGCACACACGCACACACACATAGACACACACAGACTGTAGCTCTGTTATCTGTTCTGCTGCTCTACATGTGTGATTGGTGATTAGTATTTGCCTATACGTGGAGAATATCAGTAGCGGGAATGGTAGCGAAATTGCCCGGTATTCACTTCTGCATGATATATCGACTTTTCATTCACGTTTATCGTTTGCATGCTTTGAGTTGTTCTGAGGCTCCGTGGCATTCCACACATGATTTCATACTCTCTCATTTTGCTGTCTGTTAGTAATGAGCAGACTGTTAAGCAACCTCTGAATAACAGGCGTGATAGGGTAAGGAATGCTGGTAACTTGACGTCTGAAATACTCTAAGTGAACTGCAGCATTTGTCGAGTGCTAAGGTTTTCATAGGCATATTGCACTAAAACGTGAAACTGACATGCCAGCGTAAATACACCCGCACGCACACGCAAACGCGCGCGCGGGTACGCACGAGCGCGGAGGCACGCACGCACGCGCGCGCACACGCCATATGCGCCGGCCTTATAATCACATATTCCTATGCACACACACTCAAACACAATTCAAGTATACGCACGCGCGCACACGCACTCGCCCAAACGCACGCGCGCGCACGCACTCGCCCAAACGCACGCGCGCGCACGCATTCGCCCAAACGCACGCGCGCACACGCTCTCGCCAAAACGCACGCGCGCACACGCACACGCACTCGCCCAAACGCGCGCGACCGTACACGCAGACATTGCACGATGGCCGAGCGCACGGGCGTGACACGCACATTCGTGACAGCCGACGTTCTGCCTGTTTGGAGCGGATTTTCGACTACAAACACTCAATGTTGTGACTGCGATGTCAGCAAGGGTTTAGACGGCAGAGCCGTCGTCAGCCGGCACATGATGATAAGCAGACGAACACTTTTTTTTCGCGCCGTGTAACGAAGAGCCGCAGGGTTGGCAGATTATCCGATTACGGTAATGGCTTTGGAGAAAAGACGGCCGGCTGCGCGCAAAGCAACGTTCCTTTGAAATCTCTTGCCCGCAGCGTGTACAGAGGACGGTATATACGTGCCCGTGTTTAGTGTGTGCGCGCGTGCATGCGTGTGTGAGTGCGTGTGTGAAGCGCGGTGTGTGAATGTCCAGCGGCAAAGTGAAGACCGTCTTTCTACAACACTGAACTATTTTATTTGCCAGATAGTTAAGTCGCGCAGGCTACTAAGTCCTAGTAAAGCCCTATTAGACAACACGATAAAAAATACCAGCGCTCGAGTACTCTGATGATCTGAATCCTCCTACCCTCCTCCCCCGCCCCCTCTGTTCCTCTCCCCT